GGGTTTCGAACCCAGTCCGGGGAGGGGGGAATGCACCGGGGTGACTATTGCCACTAGGTCTCAAGGGCCAGGTGCGACAAAAGTATTGATTCGTACACTAAGCTGAACAAGAAAGGTATGAATGATAAAAATCAAGTCATATAAAAATATTATTATTATTTTTTTTGCAAGAAGGCATTATGTTTCTTATTTTATTTATATTATACTATTATTAACTTTTTAGTCCTTATAAATATAAATTCTACTTTACATTCCTTTTGAATTATATATATATTTATATACCCAATATTATTACCACATATATTTGAGAATATACATTAAATTGTGCTAAAATCTTATTCAAATCACTTTTTTCCATAACTCTGATTTGAACACTTATATTAACATATCAAAATAGCTTATAATGCAAGTTAAGGAATAGAATATGTGATACCCCAAAATTTTCTAGAATATGTAAGTGAGTTAAGGACTAAATTGTGGAAAAATGATGTTTTGGGGCCTAATGGTAAAATGTTCAAAAGTTGAGGGATTTAAAGAGGGAAAATAATTGGATAAGGATCAGTTTCTTTTCTTTTTCTTTTTCCTTCTTTTCTTCCCCAGCCATTTCCCGATTCTGCTCTTCTTCTTCTCGCTGCAGCTCCCGAAATCCCCCCTCCAAGCCGCCGGCACCAGCTTTGAAAAATTGGTGAGAAAGCTTGGAATTTCTCCTTCTTTCTTGTCCAAGAACCTGACTTGGAACCCAGAAATCTTTCCCCTTTGCTGGAAATTCCAGATCTGCCTTGCTCTGCTTGTCTTCACCGCCGGCTGCTAGTGGGTATGGGTGATTTCTGGGCATTTTTTCGGTAAGAACAGCCCCTAATTTCCTTTTTTCTTGCTTGAATTGGCTTGGGTTAACTTTGATTGCTCTTATTTCCTTCAATTTTGGGTAGTTCCCGTGAGCTTCCCCTGCACTTGCTGCCGGCTTCTCTCCCCCTACAGCTCCGGTTTCTACAGCTGGAGAATTATGGTATGTGACAGCCTTTTAAGGCTTAAATTATCCATTTAAAGTTGCTGCTTGTGATGTCCGAATTTGGCTAGGAAATGGGGAAATTCCGGTAGCGATTAAGTAAGATTTATGTGATTGAGTGTTAGTTGGTTGTTGTGATTTTTGGAGAAAATCCCGTGAGATTAGGTAGTGTTTTGGCCAATTTGTGGAAGTGGAGTTACTGTTCACGTTGGGTACTGTTCACCGACACTGTTCACACACCGAGGGCCAACAATTAACGGGGATTTAAATGATTAGTTTATGATATAAGAATGAATTTGGAGATATTTGATTATGTGGAGATGGATAGGAATTAGTATCGTGATTAAGGAGTCTTAATGATGATTTCAGCTTGAATTTATGATGGTGCGATAATTAATTATTAGGTATCTTGATTAGGTTCTTGATCGTTTTGTCAGTTAGCATTAAGATTGAGTGCTCGGTTTTATGCGAGTGAGGTAAGTAAATTTATGGTAATGCCCATACAGTTTTTAAAAGCATGTTTTGATTTGTTTTTGAAATGGTGGTGGGATTAAACCCGTTTTACACGAGCATGACTGATTTGAAGTGAAATGGCTTATGCTTTTCATTAAATTGAGCATGCCTACTTGAAATTTAATGATTGTCCTGATGATCTAAAAGTGATTGGTAAATTATGTTTTTCTGTTAACTTTAGTCTGTTTTGTCTTCGATATGGTTATGTTCTTGTAACCCTGCTAGTGGGGGTTAAACGCTAGCACATGTCGGCACATGTCGATATGTTCCTATTAGAACCGGTTCGTTCCTGTAACCCTGCTAGTGGGGGTTATACACTAGTAATTCCTGTTGCTTGCTAGTGGGAGGTTTAAACACTGGCCATGACCTATAGAGGAGACGTCTATTTCTTTCCCGTACTGTATCCGTTTTCGTGATTGCACTTGTTGGCATGCTATAAGTTTAATAAGGGGCATTTCATATTTTGCTTACTGAGTTTATCTCATAGTTTTTCCTTGTCCACCATTTCAAGAAGCGAAACTAAGGACGGGGAAACCACGGGAAGTGACGAGTTAGAAAGCTAACCATTTCGAGATTGATAGAGATTTTAGAAATAAATCATGATCTTGTAAACCAGAGTGTATTTGGAGATTTATGATATCGGAGAAATTTTATAATTTGATCTTCAGATTTTGGTGATATCAGATGTGAATTAGATAAGTTCCGAGCCTTGTGCATTTGTGGGATCCTCCCACGAGTGCACGGCGTTTGCTACGTCCCCGGATTTGGGTTCTGGGGCGTGACAGAATAGGAACAAAAAAAAAAGACAAAAACTTAGAAATGATAGAAGTAATAAGCAAAAACTATAAAATAAAATTTTACAAGTTAAGCAATTATAGAAAAGAGAGTTGGTAAAGACTTATGTAGAAATGAAAAAAAAAATTGTTAAATATTTTC